TCAATGTATTTTTGAAAGTCGAACATTTACTACGATTTTTTCTCAGATATATCGTTTCACTTTCATTCCACATTGCTAAAATTGGGCTCCAGAGACATTAAATTTGAGAAAAATGCTAAGGAATATAAAAAACTAATTTTATTCAATTTAATGTACCAACAATATTCAAGTGGAATTTTAATTTTGTACTCTATAATCATAACCGCACAAATATATATATTTATCATAATGCCTACAATAAAAACTGAAATGGCATCTGCTCAAGTCACACGATTCTTGGGCCAATCATCATTCACTTCTCGGCATGAGAAGTGGTCATTGACGCTCAATGATTGGCGTTCAATGACGTTTTTTCTAATTGTTCAGAGCTCATATATTTCTGTATTAACTTAACCATCCGAATATTTCGGTTTGGTAATTTTCATTATTTTCAATATTTTTAACATTTCATTCATTTCATTTGTTATTTCACTGATTTCACCTTTTAAGGACTATGGAAGTCCGATCTTGTAATATTCACCAGGAAACATTATCTACCACTTTTAAAGTAATACAGTTTTTATTTATATTCAAATAATCCATGACCCTAAATGAGTCCACTTGTAGTGCATTACTTGAATCTACAGACGTTCAGACGCTGTATCGACAATCGAACGTATCTCGTGACGTCACACTATCTTTCGACACACTCGTAGTTTCAAAGTCGTCTATTTCGATAACAGTAAATGCGAATGATCTTAAATTTCCAACATTGTATTCTGGGTGATGATCACTATCAATATATATTTTAAAAAATGCAGGAAATTAGACTCTACTGAAAGACGGTTTACAGACCTTTACTCATAGCACCTAATAGTTTTTAATTATATTGGAGGATATAAATACATTTTTAATATTTATATAGAATATCCAGAGTCGAAAACAAATAGAAATATACTTACAGCACTTTAACTAGTTATTTCAGCTTCAACACCTCGGCAATAAACAAATCATGTGAGTCAGAAAATCTGAAGTTGGATCTGAACTTGGCAACGTCGCAGAGATCAAAACAACTGGCATTATAGGTACCTTTCCAGAGAATGGGATCTTAAATGGAAGTGAGAAACTGGGGGTAAGTGGGGTAAATTTTTCATCTAATTGCATTTCTCATCTTGTTATGTGATTATTTCGAAGATGGTTTTCATTTAAATATTCTGAGAAGTCCAAGTTCATCTATTTATTGATTTATTTATGTAAAACATTGCATATTAATTTCATCAAGAAATGACTAAGTTATGATGTTGTTAACTTGGTTAGCGAAACACGGATCGAAAGACACTAGACATTTTTATTCGAGTGTGTTTTTACTATATTCAGTAAATGTGATAAAGAATCGTATATATCATATTTGTTAAAAATTGTGCGGTTACGCTCTTGAATAAAGCAGAACCATAGACCGGTTTACCAAGATATAATGATGAATTATTTTTTTTCTGTTCTCATATAAGACACAATATACAGTATGATTCACTCTATATGGTATTAAATTATCAACTGCAAAAAAAAATAACTGCTTTAATACCATTTTGTAGTGTTTTGTAATATTGTGAATCACTTCCTTTTATTCAATTAAGGGTCTAATTGGTTTCATTACAATTGTTTAGCCAATACCATATAGGTACCGTGAAACCTACTATACCTTGTAAATTTACAAAAAATTCTGACAGGTATGAAATTTGATCGCCCTAATCTAAACAGACACACCCGTCGTCAAACAGATAGGTACCTTATCACTGTAGAGCTAGCAACATTTAGTTTGAAGCGATAATTTCAAGATCATTTTAGATTGATAAAGTGCTCTTTTGTGGAATTTTTTATTTTTCATTCAAAGGAGATATCAAGGGTTAGGCTAGTAGAATTCAAATATAGAAAAACATTTTGTTGACTATGGGTTCTGCTAGCTTCACCGTTGAGCGCGCAGAACCAAATCAAAATCCTTCACATTTTGGAAATTTTGAATATGCAATAATTTCAGGCACATTTCAGAAGTAGAAATTATTTAAATGATTTTTTAGAATCATTCTTTAGGTGAGAAAGAGATCATTTCAGGCTAGTAAACAAATATGAATATTCCACTTATTGTAAATTTTGAAATGCATATTCAAGGCTTCTTCATTACCCTATTCAACAAATGTTTCTTACTCGTTTGAATAAATTTCTTGAAATATTTTGTTGGTGTTTGTGAAAAAAGTATAAATTTATCTCGGCTCTTATTTCACCCTATCGTGATTTTCCTTATGTTTCTTTGAGCTGGCAGAACCATATCGAAATCATTTTACTTTTCAGCAATTTAGAATTCTTAACAATTTCCCCTATCCTATTTACCGGTTTTTAATCAATGGGTTCTGACAGCTTCATCGTTAAACCTTTTGGAATTTTGTAAACTTTGGATTATTGATAATTTTAGACTTATTTTCATATATTCTCATTCGAAAATTATATTTTCGAAAAATTATTCCCGCTTTTATTGTGGGTGTCAGAGGGATTCGTCCAAATATTCAGTTGTGACGAGAAGCAAACAAATATTTGATAAATTAAATAACAACATTGAATTTATACATCTCTTACTTTCTAACCGGTTAGTTGAACGTTATACTATAGGAACATATATCATTTATGAGGTACATAGTATACAGTGCGGACTAAAAAATGTTTCTCCCTCTTGACTTTTGAACGGAACGAAATATAATTTTCAGTAGTTACTGTTCTTTTTGTGAAAATCAAATAGAAAAAATGTATTGGAATTTCCCTCTACGTAATTCCAATGAATATTCAAAATTTTTATCATTCACTGCCAAAAAACTGATTTTTCACACCATGAAATGTTCCTGGGGTCATTTCGTTACAAGTAAATATTTCATTCACTTTCCACGAGTCCTAAAATTAACTGGATATTGGATATTTATATTTAAAATTGATTAAGGCTTTCGCGCCCAAGATTTTCAGTGTTACAATCTTCGTTCGGGTTTGAAGGCCGTCGCCAGCACCTCTGAAGAAGTCAGTCACTCGTGCTGGCGAAACGTTAGGATATAGTTCCAAACCACGACGGCCTTCAAACCCGAACGAAGATTGTAACACTAATTATATTTAGTTTCTTAGAGTCTTTCATATGATCTGAAACTCGTGTTTCAAGATACAGTCCGGTTTGACCAACATATAATTTGTGACAGTTTCCACAGTTCAATTGTATACTATAGTTTTCAACCGATGTTGCAATTCAGCAAGATGAATTAACTCCTCATTTCAGACTGGTTCGAAAGTGGGTAAATAACAATAACCCAAATCGGTGGTCCCTAAAAATGTCCCACTAAATCAACTGATTTGACGCTCTTGGATTGTATGTAGATATTCGTGGAATTTAAGGTATATGTTACACAACAGTAGAGATGCTTCTACCCCAGACACATTCCATAATGTAAAAAAATATTTCGTAAACAAACTTCACTATTGTTAGGAAGTAAATGGTAAGCATTTTGAACATATATTGGGATGAACTGGAGTGAGTTTTGTACACATATTTTCCATAAGTTATGAAATTTATCGTTTGTTTGCGTATTCTGAAAACCAATATAACACTGCTAATTTGATACTGAGAAACAGCTGACCTCATTTTCAAAAGTAAATCAAAGTTGAATAAAGAATTGAAATATTTATTGGGAGGTATCATTTGAAAAAAGTTGTTAGCGCCCGTTCAGTGACGTGTGACAAAACAATTTCCTTCTTATGAGAATAGTACTGAAAATGTACTCAAAATATTTGATTTTCACCGTGCCCAAGACAATATCATGTGATTTCATATACACTCACAATAAATATGCATTCAAAATTTTGTTCAAGTGTTCCTCATATGCAGGTATCCCTAAAATAGTTTAAAAGGATGAAATTATGAACAAACTAAATAAATTGAAATTAAGAGTTGAAATTGTCAGTTTTGTTGTATATCAATTTCCTAAATCTATCATTTCTACCATCTCCATAATTTTACTCGAAATTATTCATATTTTGAAGAAGTATCAACTACTGGTATTACAAAAATTACGAGTAGTATTACAAATATTTTCCATCGCTCCAAAGCACTATTAGATTCATATGAAATCCACGACATCTTGAAGCTTTTTCGTGATTAAGGCTTCGATAAAGATTTTTTTATCATTTGGTACTAGAAAGAATGATTGGGATCCTTCAGTTCATTTCATTGAATATTAATGATAAATGAGCGATAAACTGTGAAATTTTGTCAATTTTACGATAGTGTGTCAAAGCAAACGAAAAAGTTCATAGTACTAGTATTCAATTTGATTCAGATATATATGAATGAATCTTTGTGAGCGGAAAAGAGTATGTAAATTATTTCGAAATCTTGCTAGCTTCAATTCGTAATACACCTGCGGCGAGATATACTTTATTTTTCATCAAATGTTTCATTTATTAAGTCTCATATGTAGTACGTAGCCCCCAAAAATTTCGATTTTTATCAAGATTATCCAAAATTCTATGAAGACCTTCCACATTTGTATATCATAATCAATTATTTCAAAGCATACATCAAACTTTTATTCCAAAAAAGCTGTCACAACGTTTATGAACGCTGTGACAACTTTATTAAATGAAATAAAAAAATAAAGGGAAAGTGAAGTAAATTAGTTTTAGTATGATTCACATCAAGTTACATCCAACAGAATCCCTACTCACAATGTTGTTATAAAAAAAACAACAAACAATTTCTGAAAGAATTCTGCAGATACCACTTTAAGACTTTCATTGTGTCATTAAAAACTGTCACTCCAACCGAGATTCCAACCATATGAAGCTGCGTTTTTCTGTTTATTCACCTAATATAAATTTTTACTTATTTGTAAATGAAACGTAGGTAAAAGTAGTTCAACTGAAAATGTTTATTTCTATTATTATTTCCCAATCGTGATAATTACCAATTTTAGTACATACAAATGAAGACGAACCTTTTTCATTTCCACACCGAGAATCAATTATGGTCTATGAAAAGAAACGTGTTATCCATTCAGAATTATCAGTATTTTACTGATACTTTCACTGATCCCTGTTTCCCCTACACCTTCACAGTCACATCACAACACATGGTCATGGAGCTAGGTTAAGGTTGAGTCAAACGTTGAGTGTCAATAGAGGGCCCGTGGAATAATTTTTCTCACCTCACATTTTAACGGAATTATATAGAACATTTGAAATTGAAATGAATTAAACTCTTCAAACACAACACTTAACGTCAACACTACTATAAATATTCAACCTCTCGTGCGATACTAACAACGATAACTTTCCGCTTCCCGCCACAAGCGAGCTTCGGGTCGTTTACGTTACGTCACTGCCTATTTGATTCTACACTGAATGGTTACTGGCAGTGATGCCACATTTTTTGGAAGTCCGTACTGTGCAAACGGTGGGTTTGAATATATTCGTTGGATTGATAGACCAATGTGGATCTGCTGGAAAGGTAAAAATGTAAAAAACGCATACTTTTTTTGAAAGGTAAGAAAACGTGGTGCTCATCACAGAAAAAACTAAACAAATGGTGTGAACTTAAAGGATGAAAATTGGTTTTTTCACGATTCCCCTGAAACTGGACCTCGTATGGAAAAAAATTAAATTTGAAAATTGTAAGTAATATAAGGATCTATAATGGATTAGGTCAAAAAATTCGACAAGTTTTTTCAAATATATCGAAAATATTGTTCAAGGACACAAAAAAATATCGTGGAGGATTGAGCCCTTAATATTAATTTAAAGAGGTCTATCATCTTTTAAATTTGTGCTTTCAGGAAACTGAATTCCCTACAAAAAACGTCTCTTTGAAGATTTTCGTCAGACGAGCCGTTTCCGAATAATCAAGCTTTTAACATTGATATATTTTATAAATTCACCTTTTTTATTTTGGAATTTTGTAACTATATAGAAAGGAACAACAGTGATTCTTAAAGGCAATTTAATGCTCTACAAAAAAAGGTCCCCTAACGTTTTCACATGAAATCACTCTTTCAAAAGTTATACACAATTTGAGTTGAAGAAAAAATCAAATTATGGTTTTCTTCGTTATTGAATCAATTTTTTTCACTCAGTAGAACATAATATATTCAAAACTATTCTCGGCTAATAGCCATTTATTATTCGAGAACGCAGATTTACTTCAAAATAATCAAAAAATACAATTATGTGGTATCATTACCCCCTTGCTCCTCTATTTGTTTGGCTTTTCCGCAACTTAATCGCTGTGACGAGTGAAAATATTCCCTATCCTCCGCAATGTCTATCACAAACGCCGACCGCACACAACTAACCACATATAATCTGATTTTACTTTTTTTCAAATATGTGAAAGTGTATATAATTTTCAATAGTGAAACCACATAATTGTGATTTTTTATTTATTTTAAGATAGTAAATCTACGTTTTCGCATAATAATTATTAACCGAGAATAGGTTTGAATATATTTTTAGATGTAGATATAGAAATTTAGATATTTTAAGTGATAATATTGATAAAATCAATTTATATGATGTAAAATATCAATGTGGTTGTTCTACTGAATAAAAAAAATTGATTCAACAACAAATTTTTTCTTCAACTTGAGTTGTGAAAAACTGTAAAATAACTGTAAAAACATTAAGAGACCATTTTTTGTAGAGCATTAAATTTCCTGTAAGAATCTTCCTTATTCCTTTCTACATATTTATTTGTTCGTTAGTTACAAAATTTCAAAATATAAAAGGTAAATCTAAAAAATATATCAATGTTTAAAGCTTGATTATTCCAAAAGGGCTTGTCTGGCGAAAATTTTCACTAGAGACTTTTTTGTAGGGAATTCAATTTTCAGAAAATATGTGAACCGATGATTTTTTTTTACCTCGAAAGTTTGGCAGCTTTGACGCAAAAATTAAAGCACAAATAAAAAATCGAAATTGAATATGATTGACATCTTAATATCGATATTAAAGGCTCAAACCTTCACGATATATTTTTTGTCACCTTGAACAATATTTTCGATATAATGTTTAAAAAAAAATAATCGATTTTTTTGGCCAAGTCTGCTCTGTTGGCACATAACTTGAAATTTCCGTTGAAAATCGGATGTGCCTAAAATGTACTTCAATATTCAACTTCAAATTTGCATGTAGATATGTTTCAGATAATCATAAAAGGTTTTCTTATTCGAAGTTCATTGTAGAAAACGCTCAGAGCAATAGAAATATGAAAAAATATGAATAGGTACCCGAAAATGAAAAAAAAAACTCTCGAAAAAATCTACGGTACATAGGGAGACGTGAAGTTTCTACATTCATAAAAATCATGGGCCCACATTACTATCTAATTTGATGAAAAAAAAAATGTTAATTAGTTCCACGATTTTTCAGTTATTATACAGATTATTTCGGAAATCACATTCTAGCCAAAAGAAAGGTCTCGCATGATATATTCACTCATTCTTCAATAATCATTCATCAGGCTTTTGCCAAATTTAGGATATTATTAGGTACATAGTTTTCTAATTACTGAAAATTAATTTCCATACAAATATGGCGTCATTTTCAAAATACAGGTATAAGTCGACAATCCCAAAATTTTCAATCTGTAAGTCTCAGCGGCTTGGCTGAAAACACGAAAGACACTATGTTATCGCCATTGAAGTTTTTTCTGGCCTATAATTTTCCATAAACACACGAGCACCAAATCGATCTTCCTTCCGAAAGTCCAAGGAGGAAGAGAGAGAGAGAGAAAGGAAGAGACAGAGAAAGAGAGAAAAATAGGACATCAACTCGGTAGTAGCACGAAATACTTTATGTTATCGCTATTGAAGTCTTTTCTGACCTATAATTTTCCATAAACACAGGAGCAGCAAATCGATCTCTCTTTCGAAAGTCAAAGAAGAGAGAGAGAGAAAGAAGAGAGAGAGGAAGAGAGTAAAGTAGAACATCAACTCTGTAGTAGTCTTGGAACCTTTCATTTGATATTAATGTGATGAGACTGACTAGTCCTCCATTTTGGTCTGGCCATATTATGTTTGGAAGTACGTTATCTGATGCCCATATTATTTAAGTTCATAAGAAATGACTAGTTGTCTATCTTGGGCGATTTCCAATATTGGATTTTCAATGACTTCATTATACTTAGCGTGCCAAGCCCTTTCATTCAATATCCATATTACAGGCGCTAATGTAGAAATGATAAAACACAATTTAGGTTATCGCGTATTGTCACGAGATACAAAGGTGTGTGCCAAAATAAAGCTCAATTGAAAATTGAAATGTGGGTCAAATTCAACTTGCAATATTTGATCACAGACACCGGGACCGTGAAACTAAATAACAATTTATTAGCACATTGATATTTAAAAAGAAATCTGTTTAAAATCTGTTTTTCTGTTAATCAGCTGTCGCCCCCATACGAACGACAACTCTCCGAAGTTGAGAAACTTGTGCGAGCTAACGGTTGATTCCTAACACGGTATTCTGATGATGGCTTTTTTGGTTCCCACTGGGTTTATGGATTTTTTATCATCAACTTCCATTTTGAATTTTCTCGAATAGATTTTTCGGTAAGTTTAGTGCATATTTCATTAATTCATTTGGTCAAATGGTTTTTTTAAATGCAAACTCTTTCATTCCCAATAAAATAAGATCAGTTTAATATTTCTTATTTCTACAAAATACCACATGTAATCAAACTATAACTGAAGATTCCACCGGATAATATCTCTCATTATTTTGACAAAATGTATTTTGGATCGATATTCTTCGAGACACAATCATACAACGCATTTAAATGATTCTTCAAATGGTGCTTCAGTTTGAATTTCTTGTGACATTTGGGACATTCGAATTTCCTCTCCACACCACATTCTTGTTGCATATGGCGATACAGTCTTTTTATGTAAATGTAACTTTTTCCGCAATTCCTACAAACGTGTTCGGCATCTGGAATTAGCAATATAATAAACAACTGTGCTAATGTCATTCAGGCAAAATATAGTATTTTCAAATAAGCAACGTTGGAAAAATATTTCAGAAATCAGAAAACTTCCTTTAAATTCATACTTGTACCTTCTACAATCTGGGAAATGAAGAAAATCAACTCAATATTACTGGAGATTTATCCCAACACTTAACCATCATTTTTAACAACTCGACACGTGTTTCGATCACCAAGTGCTCATCTTCAAGAGGAAGATTAAACTAAATCTACATACAATGTTGTCATTATTTATATCATAGATACCTTTGCTAAGTACCTGCGCCTTAATTGTTTTAATTGCCTTATCTACTAGTTAGGTAAATCTGATAACTCAAATATTATTTCAACATGCTATATAGTGTACTATTAGGTATTGGTCCACAATCGTTATTCATAATATTATTATGTTTACTCATTTCTACGCTCTCATAGGCCTCTAGTTGTCTGTTGTTGTTAACATGTCTAAATAATCTTAATGAACTAAAGTCTATGGAATATTACAAAACATGATGGGTCACTGATAATTTTTCTGGTCTTCCATATTTTAGGTGTGCTAAGTGTTCTCCATATCTTATTTTGATAGATCTTTTATTCTGTCCATAATATTTTGCATCGCAGTCCTTACATTAAACTTCGTAAAATCCAGACTTTTCCGAATTCTCAACTTTGTCCCTTTGATTTCTTAAAAGGCTATGTAGTGTATAACTTGTTTTAAGTACCACCTTCGTACCTAGTTCTTTGGAAATCTTTCCAAAGTTCTTCAAATTGGTGGTATGGAATACCTATATTTATCTTGATTTTCGTCGTTCCTAAAAGTCGAGATTTCGTTCATTCTCAACCTGAATGTAGATGATAGCATCTACAATACCCTTCGAGAAACCGTTACTGACTGCTGTTTCCTGTATTGTTACTTTTTTTTTGTAAACCTCAAAAGGAAACGTCAAAAGACGATGCACTAGAAAATTCAACCCAGTACGTTTGTGCTGTCCACAGTGATATGAACGCTCAAGAATATACCTGTAAGTGATTGGCGTGAAGTTATCCACAGATTTCTGGCCACACATACTGACGTAGAGGAAAATAAAAATCTGTGGTTGGGAAACGAAATTATTAGCACCCGTACTAATATCTGTGGCTGGAAATAACCATTCACTATAGGTTGAACGTGAAATTATTAGGACTATTTGGTGTAAAACTTTTTTATATAATCTTGAGTAGATTGACGCGTTGATATCCGTTCTCTCATCAACAATACAAATTTAGGGAAAAATAAAATTGGAAATATTAGACTTACTTTCCAATACCCCATATAAAAATGATATCCGATGATGTGCGTCCATCAAAATCACACAACTTCCATAACTTGGTGATGACAGTTTTCTTGTCATCTAAACAGATTTCAAAAAAGAAATTGTTGAAACAATCAGAACAGTTTTTTGAGATTCCTTGTATTCATGAAAATCACACAACTTCTATAGAATCTTGGGTATATCAATATAGTGAAAACCATTTTCTTGTCACCCATACAGATTTCGAGAGAAAAATTGTTGCAACAATCAGACTCACTTTTTAAAACACCTTGTAGAATTGGAACCAGAAAATGTGCGTTCATGAAAATCACACAACTCTCATACAATCTTGGATAGATAAACACAGTGAAAACCGTTTTCTGGTCACCCATACAGATTTCGAGAAAAAAATTGTTGCAACAATCAGACTCACTTTTTAAAACACCTTGTAGAATTGGAACCATATGTTATGTGTTCATGAAAATCACACAATTCTTATAGAATCTTGAGTAGATCGATATGGTGAAACCCGTTTTCTTGTCACCCATGCAGATTTACAGACTCAAAATATGAGTCTGATGCAACAATTTTTCTCTCGAAATCTGTATGGGTGACAAGAAAACGGTTTTCACCATATTGATCTACCCAAGATTCTATAACAGTTGTGTAATTTTCATGAACGCACATTTTCTGGTTCCAATTCTACAAGGTGTTTTAAAAAGTGAGTCTGATTGTTGCAACAATTTTTTTCTCGAAATCTGTATGGGTGACAAGAAAACGGTTTTCACTATATCGATCTACCCAAGATTCTATAACAGTTGTGTAATTTTCATGAACGCACATCTTCTGGTTCCAATTCTACAAGGAATCTCAAAAAATGAGTCTGATTGTTGCAACAATTTTTTTATCGAAATCTGTATGGGTGACAAGAAAACAGTTTTCACTATATCGATCTACCCAAGATTCTATAAGAGTTGTGTGATTTTCATGAATACAAGGAATCTCAAAAATGAGTCTGATTGTTTCAACAATTTCTTTTTCGAAATCTGTTTAGATGACAAGAAAACTGTCATCACCAAGTTAATATTCTCAAGAAACTATAGAAGTTGTGTGATTTTGATGGACGCACATCATCTGATATCATTTCTATATGGGTTATTGGAAAGTAAATCTAATATTTACAATTTTATTATTCCCTAAATCTGTATTGTTGATGAGGAAACGATTATCGACGCGTCAATCTAGTCAAGATTCTATAAAAAAGTTAAACACCAAGTAGTCTCAATAATTTCACGTTCAACCTATAGTGAATAAGCATTTCCAGCCAAAGATATCAGTACGGGTGCTAATAATTTCGTATCCCAACCACAGATTTTTATTTTCCTCTACGTCAGCATGTGTGGCCAGAAATCTGTGGATAACTTCACGCCAATTTGTAAGTGCTTGTTTCCTTTCTAAATGCAGTGGCGATTCAAAAAATTCAAGGGCGGGGGGCACACCATAACCAGGCGCCAAGATTCAGTAAAAAGGCACAGATATTTGAAGTAATACTGTAGTTCCCATTAAGAAAAGAAATAATATCACAAAACTCTAATAAAAGAAATATTTCAATAATAAACAATGCGCACTATTGAAAAGGCAGCATACAAAACAAAACATTTCATTACCTCTTGGAGAGTAAACAAACCATTCACGTACGCTGCGCTGTTCAAAAGTTGTTTTTTTTTAAGTTTGTACCAAGAAACGCAAGATTTTCTGTAATTGGAAACTGTAAAGTCTTGGAAGTCATATGATAACCCAGGTTGGCAAGGTCTTTTTAGAATTAGTTGACGCACTATTTCAGTGATCAAAATAGTATTTTTGATTAAAAATAGGTCGATGACGAAAGTGAAATGTCAATAATAAAATGATCCTTGTAAAAACAAAATGTTCTTCCCACCTTCATTTCCAGCAGACACCTTATCAGAATGGTCTTGTTCTTGAGTACTATCACTATCCAAATCCGAATTAAAATATACTTCAGTAAATGTTGAACCGGATTTTCTTCTTACTTTATAGGTTGATGCAGATGGAACATCAAAAAATATTGACACCGTACTGACCGTACTCTCCGTAGTGTAAGTTTTATTTGGAACCGATTCCTCTACACAACTTTGAGTTTGAATTAATTGTTTTTTTGTTTCTCTATAAATGTATGTCTCCATAATGAATACGATTTCGAATCTTCAACTGAAAATTGAGAAGTTACGAATTGAAAGTTTTACGAAAAATTAATTTTGTTAGAGAATGATGTAGCAGCATATTTTAACTTCTTTTCGCGTAATTTTCGATAATCTGCTCGACCAACTGTTTATTCGTCTAAGTAACAATAACAAACCAGACTACTACTACTGCTATAAGTGCCACGCCGAGATACAATCAATTTCCAATATCTTAGAAAATGATCATATTCGCATTAGGCAGCGAGAGACATGGGATTCACAACTGATCGAGGTCGAGGTATTGAAAGCGAATGTTGCCAATAGATTTGTAAAATATTTATAATCGAAAGGGCGCTAAGAATAATATTTTGCAAAGGGCGGGGGGCTTACTGCCCCCCCCCTTGCCCCCCGTGGTGCCACCACTGCCTAAATGCATCGTATTCCAGCTTTTCACATTGACTTCCATTTCTTGACGAAAACGTCAAGAAATGGAAGTTATCCTTTATTTTTTAACTCATACGTGAATTTTATTGATGGAAGTCTGTTGTTCAAAAAGGAAACAAAGTCCTCAATATTCGATTTTTTGTTATCGAATATCGCAAAAACATCATTCACATACCTCAGCCATATTCTAGGGGAACACTTTGACGTTTCTTTGGTTTCCATTTCGAATTTGCTCATGAACAGGTTAGCCAGGTCTATAGGGAGACAAGGGGTTACACATAGCCATTCCCTTTTGTTGTTTATAAAAGCAACCTCCTCCCTGGAAACGGTTTTGTTTCATATACAAATCAGTGAGAGAAACGAATTCATCAATTCCGTTATTATGGAAATTATTTTTTTCTAGTAATTTCCTGAGGTAATGCTATGAAATAAAGAGCTAACATCAAAGGAAACTAAAATCTCACCTTCTTGCAGAACGATATTTTTTGAATGCTGTATAAACTCCAACGAGTTTTTGATACTGGTTCCGCAGTAGGTAAGCTTTTAAATTCCTTAGTGAGTCATTTTGCTCCTATTTGGTAGGTAAGAGATCCAATTGCTAATTTTCCTCTTGAAGATGATCACTTGGTGGGAGAAACACATGTCGAGGTGTTAAAAATATCGGTTTGGTGTTAGGATTAAACTCCAGTAATATGCAATACTACACCAAAGGTTCCAAACAGTGCATCACAAAAATCAAATCAATAGAGAATCAACATCGGTGGAACAAAAGACGTACACAACTTTAGTCAAAATAAATATTTGGGCAAAACAGAACGCACTCGACCCATTTGACATGACGGTGGAGATACCACCGTACCAAAAAAAAATTGCCATTATCATTAAATTCTTTCCAATTCTGAAGACGGAGACATATTTTAGCCTTCGAAAACGACCATCTTGTAATTAAAACAGATTTTGTTATTGAATACTTTTTATTATTTATAATGAAATAGGTAGCGAACTATTAAGAAGAAAACATTAGAAAATTTTCTAATATCGGGTGTTGCCTCCTCTAACTTGGACAATAGCTTCCATCCACAGAGGCATTCCACGAGTTAGCGTTCTTGGAGCATGCTATTCCTCTATGAGCGCAACACGAATTTAATTTTTGTTCGTACTTGTTTTTTCACGACACTGTTTTTCACCACGGGGTGTCTCAAACCTAGATGATGGGAATATAATTTCGTCTTCTCTCGAATAATGTATGTAAATAGGCCTAGAGAATTGATTGATGTAAAATGATCTGAGATAAATTTCCACTGATTTGTTGAAAAAAATATCAGAATCGGGTTCAAAATCAAAAAGTGATTCAGCATAAAAATATACACCTGTGTGTAAAATTTATAATTTTCCAGCATGTCATGTATATCTTCAGAACCTAACCAGGTAGAGTCAGTTGTTTACTACCATTCAATAATATATACAGTACACTCCATTTAAAACGAGCCACTCTGAATAATTTTTGCAGGAAATGTATAAAGGGGGACACATTTTGACACATTCACATTTGATGTTACTTGGCATGTCACCATTTTTTTTAATGGATCACCCTATATTGTTTCGCATTATCAGATGCTTCACGATGAGCAAATTCCAACAAAGTATAAAACATATGGTCTGAAGCTTATGATTCTGGAGCTACAAACTATTTGAGTTGAAAACAACCCACCCTTAATAACTTTTGGAACAATGACTTTTAGGAAAATAAAAAAACACCTCAACCATAGTATACAGGGGGAAACATTTTTACATATTCACATTTGATCTAACTTTCCCTAAAGCACCCCAAGAGCATGTCACCATTTTTTTTAATGGATCAATTATTTTGCATTATCAGATGTTCCATAATGAACAGATTTCAACAACGTAGAATAATTATGGTCTGAAGCTAAGAATTATTTGAGTTGAACACGAGCCACCCTGAATGATCTTCTGTACAATCTGTTACCTAGGTTTCATGGGAGTTTTTGTGAAGTATACTTCAAAAAAGTCTTATTTTGCCTACTTGAGTTTGAATTCGATATTCTCTTCATTTTGTATTATTCTCATTCTACATTAACGATTACCTACCAGGTGAAGTTACAATTGGTGTTTCTGTTTTTGTAAATTCTCAAGAAGCAATGGTTTGTATGCTTCGAGAACGAATTGAAATAGTGAGTTTGTACTACCAGAATGGAAAAAGTGCTAGAGCTGCTGCCCGTATATTCAATGATAATCATCCAATAAAAAGCATAACCGTTCAGGAGTTGTCAACGATAAAGCTATTTGTACAGCAGTTTCAGGGCACTTTGGACTAATGGAAAATTCTCAATATCTTACCAAGTTATCTCGACAATCAGTAATCAATCCTTCATAAGTACAAATTTCATCCAAATAAGATTAGACTAGTTCATGAATTGAACGAAGATGATTTCGATAGACTTATCAAGTTTTGTAAAAGTCTCACTGAACGGATCAAGTTGCATCAAAATTTCTTGTATGAAATTTGTTTTTCGAAAGAATGTACGTTTAATTTGAATGCAGAGGTGAATCGGCAAAATTGTCGATATTGGAGTGATACGAATCCTCATTTATACTGTCAAGTTCATACCCAACTACCTCAAAAATTGAATGTTTGGGCAGGTAACCACTTCATAGGACCTATTTTATCTTTGATAATCTGGCTAGTGATAAATATTTGGATATGTTGGAGAATTGAATAATACCGTGCATCAATAAGGCAATTGAGGAGGATATAAATTTATTCAAAAACGAAATAGTTTTTCAACAGGATGGTGCATCTCCTCATTATGCAGCTCCAGTGCGACAATTTTTGGATGATCATTTTCCTGGTCGCTGGATTGGCAGAAGAGGTCCTACAGAATAACCACCAAGGTCTTCGGATCCCACTCCTGTAAACTTCTTTTTATGTCGTCATTTGAAGACTAAAGTGTATGAGATAGAATTGTTTCCATATTTGTGTCTAGAACGAATATTTTAAAATGTGGCCTCCTGTATAATTGTTGACCTGTTTTTTTATTTTTCCTTCAAATCATTGTTTCAAAAGTTATTCACGGGGGCTCGTTTTAAATGGAATGCACTGTATAAATATAATTACGTTCGATAGTAGACTGAAATAGTTGAAGCATGAAACGTTCTTGAAAACAATAAATTCTTCCCAAGAACAACTTACATTTTTTTATGGAATTCATGACCGAATATATTTTTTCAAAAAAACGGAATGTCTGTTGAATACGTGGGACATCAAACTTGATTTCTGTTTTGCTCGATAGGAACACATGTTACATTTGAATTGTGGCGGCTGACGACACTCAAATTTCATATGTCTCCACAGGGAACTTTTCGCTTTATATACTCTGTTGCAGGTTTCGCAAGAAAATGCAGCCGTACCTAAAATTATGAGGTGATTACTTACTGACAATTAGAAATATTGTACATGTTATTTATTATTCACAGGAAGTTGTAATAGTATGAAATTTTGAGTAAGCATAGCACTCCAATATAGTTATTAGAAAGAGTCTTTAGTAAAGCACTAAAACAGTATAAATAGAAGCACTAAAACAGTATGAATAGAATCACTTACTTCATATACCACATCCGTTTCTATTTTTTTTTCTTGTAGGTTGTAGTTGTAAGTCGACAAAGTTGAAGAATCAATCCAGGATGTGAATATTTTTGGATATTTTGGATATTCTTTTTCAATGATTGGTATACATATCGAGAGAAAAACACTATTTCTGTTAAAATCAAAACCGCAGGAGAATCATTGTTGTCATTGTCATAAGACCATTGTAGAAAATTTTCATTGAAGTTCATTCGAAATCAAAATTCTATTTAAGTTTAACTACAAAAAAGTAATGTTTTTTTGTACTCTTGATCTTTCAAAAGGCAAACAATGAACAATGTAAATCTTTAGCATGAAAAGTGAAAACTGCTGATGAGTTTATTAGGTAAAGTTGCTACTCGACTAACATAATGTTGCGAATACAATGATTATATACTCTATTGAGTTTCACGAAATATGAATACCTTCTATCTCTCATTATTTTGTTAACACAGCCAATAAAAATGACAATTGAAATTAGTTATAAAGTTCTGACAAAGAGAGCGTTTGCATTTGCTCTCATCTCAACAAAATATTACTCATGCTCCTTGCGACGCAAATTCTCTGTCATATAACTATTCATGAGTTCATAACTAGTTTAGTGATCCAATAATTTTTCTGAGAAAAGGTTGCTTGGGCAACAAGATACATTTTTTTCTCAAACAATTGTTTTCTTGTCTCCATTTCGAGTTTAATTAAATTCTTCTCTTGCAGACTTTTTGAGCCCTGAAGAAGAATTGATTTGAATTCAAAACGTCGGCAAGAAAACAATTGTTTTCTTAAGAAAAATTGATCCTGTCACCCAATCAACCTTGATAAAATTGGGACTCTCTAACCAACCGCTTACTCTAATTGAATCATATCTAATTAACAGAAAACAATTCGTCGAATATAAATCTTACGAATCGGCTCAGTACGTAGTTACATCTGGGGTACCACAAGGTTCTTATCTTGGACCTCTTTTATTTTTAATTTTTAATATTGACTTGGCAACCTCTTTGAATATTCCTAGCCTATTATTTGCAGACGACCTGAAAGTATATTATAAAATCGACGACATTTCTGACTGCCAACGTGTTCAACATGAATTAGATGTAATCAAACTTTGATGTAATAATAATCGTCTACAACTGAACGTATCCAAAATAATATCATTGACAACAAAAAAAGCGAACTTTAATGTACGATTATTCAATCAACAATACTACAATCAACCGCGTACATGAGAAAAAAGATCTTGGTATAACATACGACAGTAAACTAACATTTACAAAACATATAAGGAATATGACTGCTGATGTAAATAGGCTGCTTCGATTCAATTACAGAAATGGCAAAAACTTCAAAAGTATTGCCACCTTAAAATTGTTATATTTTGCGTATGTCAGATCTAAGTTACAGTATGGCTCTGTGTTATGGAATCCAGTTTACGACTACCAGTAGAGTTATTCTTGGTATAAAATTCCTGCATAAATTACTGAACAACAATATTGACAGTACGGTTCTTTTACCCGAGATCAATTTCTTAGTACCAAGAAGTGAAGATCGACACTATCTAAAATTCTATTGCGGAGCATCACGCACAAATGTTATGCTACGATCACTATTGAATTTTTTGTGCAGTAGCTTCAATACAATCTGTGAACATTGCGATATTCATTTCGACTCTCTGAACGCCTTGGTATCATGTATCCACATTCACTTTTAATAATACTATAAATAAAATTTGTGTCAGTACTGCTACATTGCATGATTTGTAACTTTTTGTGTTATATACTCAATTTTTCATTCCTCTTTTGAAATTCTACGTATATTTTATATATACTTTGTTTCAGCATTAACTTTTATACATTTCTATATTCCATTAGTTTCAATATTTATTCCATATATACTCTGAAATAATAGCATTTCCTGTAACTGGGTACTCCTTTAGGAAATTAATCGCTTTTTTTTTCTTTTTTCAGTAATGAACACTTTTCAATATGTAATTCAACAAAACGAATTGCACATAATTATTTTTGTGAATCATTTCAGAAACTACTTCCTCGGCGAATTTTCAAAGTGGAATTATTAATTATTACACCAAAAAGTCCAATAACAATGAGAATACACTACAAAAACACAGTTTTGTCTATTTTCCACTATATTTCTTTATTGTTGACCGGTTTCGGCTATTACACCATTTTCAAAACTAACTGATTACATCTGAGTAATTTATGTTGCTTATTCTATCATAAATGATTTGATATACCTGATATACCTGATACCCGGTACCTGCGTTTCATATACCTGGAAAATCCATGAACATAACAAAGCTTTCAATATAATGTAGGTTTTGGGATCTGGATTATAGGATCTGGATTATAGACAAAAGTGTGTTTTTGTAGTGTATCCTCAGTGAACATGAATTTCCACAAAATAAACAAGTCGTCAATCGAAGAAGTCCAATAACAATGCCTACCTACATGGTAGATCAGAAAATATTCCATTAACTGAAAAAAATGATTCTTTGCGGCCTATGAGGCTGGGAAAAAATATTAATGGAAAAGAAATAATAAAAATAGGGGTCAAAGTAGAACTGCCAATAAATAGATGATCCATTTAATAAATGACCAAATATAGTAGAAAGGTTTTCAAAAACAAGTCAGGCAACATTTTTGTTGATTTTTTATTTCATTTATTGACATGACGTAACGTTATCTTGCATTTCAACTCAGAATGGTGCTATATGTTTTCTTTGCATATGTCCATTCAGGGAGTAGCTGTATTTGGTTCGGAAATCACAATACTCACAAAAAAACTTGCCCGATTTGAGACATTCAATTCTCAAGTGTCTCGCCAAAGAATGTTTATTCTTGTAGACTTTCTTACAGTTGAGACAAATGTGTTCTGAAACATGACAATATTTATTGAAGTTCAAAGTCGTTGCCTTTATATCAGCAACCCAGATAATTTACAATTTTATAGAAAATTCACAAGTGAAATTTCATCTGACTATCGACAAAGTAGAATAGAAAATGATCTGAAATTGTTTCGAAATAAGCAGATCTTTTGCTGACGACGTAAACTTGATTGGTGAATTCCGCTTTCCTGATTCAATAATAAAAGGCATTATGAACTTGTATTTCAAATATTTTTGGCATTATTTCTTGACATTACACTGCCATGATGCTATCGAACTAATTTTTCGAAAGGATTATTTGTGGGAACTATAAAGTATAGAATTTTCCAACAGGTACTTGCCAATTTTAACAATTGATAACGGCCATCTTGTTGAAGCTACATCTATCAAATTAGTACCTAGTGACTTTTTCATTCTATTTTGCCAGATCACCATGGATGGGTATGGAATTCAACAACACGTACAAATAATAAAATAGTTTTGTCAAAATGAGTGTTTGGGCAACATACCGTACGCTCCGCCCATTTTACGGTCGCCATAACCGTCCTACCGAGAGAATTATTCCCAATGTGGTGAATAAATTTGAGTCCGCTGGATAATAACGATATGTGGTTTCAACAGAACGGCGATACGTGTCACAGGGCTCATGCCACATTGGATATTCTACAAGAGCGATTTGAGATCTTGGTCATTCCACGTGGAGGTGATGTGAACTGGCCACCGAGATCATGTGATTTGACCCCGTTAGACTTTTTCTCGTAGGGTTTTCTTGAGTTGCAGGTGTATGCGAATAAGCCACAAAACACACCGGTCTTCAAAGCCAACATGACCCATGCCATCGGTCAAATTCATCCTGATTCATGCACCAGAGTCATGGAAAATTGGAAGTTTCGGATGCGCTCCACTCAGAGAAGCCGTAGCGGACATTTGAACGATGAATAAAAGTGAATAAAAAATTTTAATTATATCTCACACACATTTTGTTTTATTTAAATTCAAATATAGGAAGTGCCTAATGAAACACCCTATATAAACATATTGCAACACAAGATTTGAAAGATCATTTGGACTTGGAATGACATCTTATTTCGAATAAACATCGAACAACTTTTGATTGAAGATTATACACTTTACCAAAGTTTCTGAAAAATATATATGGGTTTAAAATTCAAATAAAATCTTCAATGCCATGCTCTAGAAAACACTAAACAACAATTTAAGATTCCATATTGTATTGAGAAATGTTATTTGTATTTTCATAGACCAAGCGCACATTCGAAAAACTAAATTATATGTCGAAATCGAACATATTATGGCGACATCTGTCAATTGGAAGCATAAACTTTGCACAGAAGGTATTGAAAAGCACCTAGAGTTCAATGATGGAGGAACAGGTAAATAGGTGGCGCTAAGAGAACCATTCTTCTAATTTACTCCAAACAATGGAAATGAAATTCTAATAGTGGTTAACAATCAATTCTATAAGGTTCGGAGATTTGCCATAGTACCTGATATGGTTATAATAGCCAATGAATATATTTGATTTTTCATCTCACGGAACGTTATAAGCGTCATTCAAAAAATTGTGACAATAAAAATATATATTGACGTTTTGCTATACAGCAACACATCATTTCATCACTTTTTCATGTGCTTGCGTCAGCATGAGCTATGTTTTCATTATATCTTTGTTGTGAGATGTTTTTCCATCCAAAAGTTTGTTGGTAGCAAACTTTTTCATGAAAAGATTCGAACAACTGGCAAAAAATACTTGTTTCCGATAGAGGTCTCCTTCACAAGTGAATTATTTTGGATAAACGGCAGTTTTCCTAATCATTAACTGTCAAAAGCATGGAAAGAAAAGGAAAGGAAGGAAAGGAAGGAAAGGAAGGAAAGGAAGGAAAGGAAGGAAAGGAAGGAAAGGAAGGAAAGGAAGGAAAGGAAGGAAAGGAAGGAAAGGAAGGAAAGGAAGGAAAGAAAGGAAAGGAAGAAAAGGAA